ACGCTGCCTCAACAGAGCAGAAAACATAATCAAGGACTGTTCTCACCTGGGTTTTGAACTGTTCAGGGAAACGCTACAGGAGCATCAGAACAAGAACAAACAGATTCAAGAACAGTTTTTTCCTGAAAGCCATCAGCACACTGAACTCACACATGCACTGATTTAATAATCTAACCTCCCAAACCCCTGGACTTCTACTGTGCAATACTACTGACATTCCATACTCTCAGTCACCTTAACTACCTCACGAATATCCATAATGTGCAATACAATTGTGTAATACTTGTATTTTTTTTTTACTTTCATTATTATATCTATATTGCGTTACATTTTTTATATTTTTAGTGTGTTTAATGTGTTTTCTTAAGGCGAGTTTTTGCACTGAAAAAGGAGTGGCTCTTAATTTCATTGTACTGCGTATAATGACAATAAAGGCATTCTGATTCTGATGATGGTGCATCACTTCACCTGATGCACCATCACTCTGGAACAGGGTCAGTCTGGACTCATCAGACCACATGACCTTCTTCCATTGCTCCAGAGTCCGATCTTTATGCTCCCTAGCTAATTGAAGCCTTTTTTCCAGTTAGCCTCACTGGTTAGTGGTTTTCTTAAGGCTCCACAGCTGTTCAGTCCCAGTCCCTTGAGTTCCTTCACATTGTGTGTGGAAATGTTCTTACGGTCTCTGTTAACCACAGTCCTGAGTGCTGCTGGTGTTCTTCTTCCATTTGACTTCAACAAACGTTTAAATGATCATCGATCATTCAGGATTTATTTCCGGTCACATTTCTTCCTGGAAGACGATGGGTCCCCACTGTCCTTCCAGTTTTTAATAATGTGTTGGACAGTTCTTAACCCAGTTTTAGTTTCTACAATCTCCTGAGATGTTTCTCTGCTTGATGCCAATGATTTGACTCTTCTCCAACAGACGGACATCTTCTCCATGACCACCATGAGACTTTCATCATGTTGTTGAAGAAATGAGAAGCAGCTCATTGCACCAGTTGGGGTTAAATAACTTGTTGCAGCTGAAAGATGATCGTCCGTGCAGTGACGATCCAACAGGAGGCTCGGACCTGTTTCATGAGCTACATCCAGGTGGAGACTTGTTTTTTGGGGCCAGGCAGTGTAGTTGAAAATATTGATTTAAGGATTTTAGAGAAACTTAAAATCCCATAAATCTAACATTTTAAATTTTAGGTTACCGATTTACTGAGATTTAGTGGACTAAAACTAAAACGAGCAACAAATGAATAAAATATTTAAAAAAGACTAAAACTTGCTGTAGAGATCCTTTGGCCTCCACAGTGCGTGGCCCTGGAGGCCCCTTCAGAAATGGGCCCATGATTTTAACAGCAGCGGCCCTGGACGACTACCATCAGCTGATCCGTTTGAACCAGAACCGAACAGAACCACCTGACTGAAGACAACTTGAAGCCCTGCTCCTCACGGAGCCTCGGGGGTGCTCCTGATCACATCAGCTGCAAACAGGAAACTCACGCTGCTGACGTCAACCGTCCACTTCCCCGGTTCGGACGCGGCCCACACCGGTCCGGTTCGACCCACCAGCAGCAGGAAGTTCAGGAACAGCGCCGAGACACAGAGACCCCGAGCCACCGAGCCAGCCATCAGAACCAGCATCGAACACAAACCGACAACGACGACCCACAACAAGCAGGACGCTTCCGGGTTCCGGGTGACGTTGCACCGTGAGCGGTGGTGCGTTCAAAGACCGTGGAACGTTTAAAGACAGAAACGGTTGCTGCGCCATCGGAGAATGTTTTATAGAGAATGCAGTGATCATTATTATTAAAGATGGAGAATGCAGATGTCGTTTGAATCTTAACTCCATTATTGACAAGACACCCACCCCCACCCAAAAAAACAAACAAACAAAAAAACTGAACCAATGGAAGCAAAGAGATTTATCTGAGAGGAAGAATGACCAAACTGAGTGACACCACCTTACATACCTGCCCTATCTCTTGATGTTAACAAAAAGGTCTCTAAAGATATCGACAAGATGTTTAACTTAATTTGGAAGAACAAAAAACACTATATTTAATAAAATCTGTCATTATGAACTCTTACGATAAGGGTGGCCTCAACTTTTTGGACTTTTACACCTCAAATAACACATTTAAAATAAATTGGCTAAAACAATTGATCAAGAACCCATCTTCAATTAGGAACTTCATACCAA